AACTCTCAAAGCACCTTATACTTCTTTAATTATACACTATCTTGCTCAATCTTTGTCTAAGTTGACCACTGTTCCTGTAGATTACAATTTTATTGTGTGTGAGTAGGGAATATGTTCCAATCTATGCATTTTATACTGTGCCTAGGTGTATGTTGTGAATATAGGAACAATAGAGATAGTCAATTAAGTATTTACAAACTGAATTAGAATCACTTTTCTTTTAGTTAAGTGAATTTGATAACACTCTGAATCGTTTTCTACCGTAATAAAATAGAGCCTGATGCCAGTGATCACTTCGAGGCTGGGGGGCCTATCCCACTTGCGTGTTTACAGACATGGACCATCAGATTTTCTGTCCCAGGCAACCTGACTCCTCTCCTCGGGAATCCTCAGAATTTGACAGTGAGCTTCTGGTCCTCAGTTGGATTTGGTGAGAAGGCACAGAGGCAGCAAGGAAATCTACGTCCCTCTACTGAAAACCAGCTTCCACAGTACACGTGCTCCTGCTTTCAGAGAGAATTATTTACAAATACAAAGGATGGTCTGCTTTTACTCCTTAATATAAAACTTCCTGCTAATACAATGTGATGGCTTTAAGCCATAATACTTAGAAAAGGTCCAAATTGTGAGAATCTAAGGTTCTCATTAGAATGGTAACTTGACTATATTGCACATTTTTCATATAATAAAACAACCCTGGAAAGTTTATATAGATATTGAGGCACAATATATGTGTATGATTGGGACAAGTTAACATTGTAATGAAAGCCTTTGCTTTGGCATTTCCTGCCTTTTGTGCGCCATTATCATTATTTATGATTTGAATGTGACAGCCAATTCAGCATTGCATAAGCCATACAGTAAGCATGGCTTCCGCCCTGGGGCTTAATGAATGAAAAACACAGGCAAAATATTTCACATTAAAACTCTCTGGAGGTAGCTGACTCTCAAGGGTGCAAGGAGCTTTGTGTTTAAAACACCTGTCCTTTTCTTTCTTTATCCTTTTTAACCTTTTGCCTTAATTTGTGCACATCTTCATTCAGAGAAGATCATTGCAACAATGAATGAAGATGTTAATTTCCCTGAAAAATAGTTGGTCTGGGGTTCCAGTGTTGCAAAATTGAAAGCAAAGGAGTGAAGAAATGAAAAAAAAAGACAATGACCATGAGAATGAAGCTAAAACTTGTTTGCCTCTGTACTCTGGCACATGCAGGCACTTCTGCTTATAATGCCCCTTCCTCCCTGACCTCCTGCTCAGAAGCCTCTTCCACTGAGAAGCCTTCCTAGATCTCTCCTAGGCCACACCTACAGAAATTGTCTGCCTCCCACCTGACTGCACTCCCCGAGTGTGAGGCATGTGCCTTACTCGGCCGTGTGTCACCAGCATCTAGCATTGAGTGCTCAGCAACCACGGACAGTGAAGGAATAAATAAAAAACAAGAAAGGACCAAGTCTCAGGTAGATGTACTGACTCTGTCTTTTAGAATACTGTGACTAGTGAATTTTTTACCCTTCTATTCAAAGTCTTAATCATGATTATGAGTATGCTCTAACTCCTTAAATAATCTTGCAAATAGCTTACCAACCAGCATAACGCCTAAATGCATCAGGGTCAAACTATGTCTGTTGTTTGATGAACTTTCCTTGATGGGTAACCTATTACTGGTTTACAGGTACTCTACGTACTTGAGAAATTATCTCCTATGTCTCTTCTTCACTCATGAATCCTGTCATAGTCCCTGAATTTTTTCCAATTCAACACTCAAGACTTCGTTTGATAATAGTTTGTACTCTATCTCCTTTTCTCCTTCTGAAACTCCCATTGTACAGACATTGAATGTCTCGCACTGTCCCTCCTTATCTTTCATCTTTTCTGTCATAGTTTTCCCTGCTTTATCGCTCTGCTCCATGTTCTTGGAGAATTTTTCAAGTTAGTATTGGTACTTACTAACTGTTCTTTTTCCTATCCATTCTGATGTTTACTGCCTTTTCATTTAATAGTTCCTTATTAAAGCAAATGGTTTTAGAACCTGAAAAATCAGATAATGATACAAAGAGTCTAATAATTAACAATTTAGTGTTCCCCTGGGCCTATTACCTTACCCTCCATCCTATAGATGACCATTTGAGAGTTCAAGGAAATATTTTAAGTCACTTAGGCCTTCAAGTAGCACCTCTTTTTATTTTGTATTGGATATCAGAATTCAATTACATTTACTACGTATTGATTACTTATCTCAGTTTATATCTTGCACTTTTTCAGATACTGTGGGGATACAAAAATATATAGCATTATTTATGCTCTGAGGTAGCTGATAATCTTTAATCTTTAAATTTTACACTAAAATGTAAGCTAACACTCATGATCTGGGCAGTCTGAGAGGTATGTGAAGTCATGGTGAGGTATGTGTCTCTAGACTGTTGGAAACATGAAGTAGCCCTAGTGAAGCATCTGGATTTGCTGTCTTTGGGGGATAGTTACATTTGCTGTGGAACAGAAGCAAAGGGAAGACACCTGAATTTAAAGCTAGAGCCCAGTTGGAATCCTGGCTTTGCCTCTTACCACCTGGGTGACCTCATTTTTATCTGCTGTGAAATAAAGAACATAATGCTGACCTAATTGGGTAATTATGAAAATTAAACAAGATGGCACACCCTCCAAAGTAATTTGTGATCTAAGAAGTATATTCTGTAATCTTATCTTAATAGAATTCCTCTTCCTCTTTTAAGCACCCAAATTAGCATTTATAAATTATTCTAAATTAGGGGAAAAAAAGAACCCAGGGATCTTCTTCTTCAGGGTGTCAATCCTAAGACCAAATTAAATTTCTGGGTTTAGAAATAACTCTTTACAATGTAAATTAACAAATACAATAACCCGGACACACTTGCCATGCACATGTCATTTTCCTTAAAGGGCCAGATAGCAGACATTTTTGGTTTTGTGGGCCGTATGTCTCTATCATGACTTCTATTTAACCTTTCCTGTTATAGCACAAAGGTGGTCATAGACAACATTAGACATATGGGCTTGACTGTGCTCCAATAAAACTTTACTTATAAAAATAGGTGGCAGGCCAGATGTAGCTGGTGGGACATAGTTTGCTGACTCCAGTCCTAAGTGATACTGAGATGAAGAAGACAAAGTCCCTGACCACACAGAGCATACATTTTAGTGAGGACAATAATCAATAAATAAAAAATAAACAATACACAATGAAATGGCAGATGGTATTAAAGGGCCACAAAGAACAATAAAAGCAGAATAAGAGAATCAAAAGAAATGGTGGGGGAGATGCTATTTTAGATGGGGCAGTCAAAGAAGGCCTCTATGAGAAATCATTACTTGAGAAGAAATGGATAAAGTGAAGGAGCAATGCCATGTCTGCAAAGTGACAAAATTTTCAAGAAGAAACTGCATATGCAAAACTGTTAGAAAGAACAGTGGTTTCAATAGTGGTGCTCCAAAGTTTATGTCCACCGGGAACCTTAGAATATGAACTTACTTGGAATAAGTGTCTTTGCTGATGAAAGCAAGTAAACGCTCTTGAGATTATCCTGTGTTAGGGTGGGCCCTAAGTCCAATGACAAGCCCTCAGAAGAAAAGGGGAAACAGACACAGAGAGAAGAGGGAAGAAGAGAAGGCAGAGGCAGAGACTGGAGTCACGCAGCTATAAGCCAAGGAGCACCGAGGACTGCCAACGTTCACCAGAAGCTAGGAGAGAGAATGGGACGGACTCTCCCTCATTGCCTCTAGAAGGCACAACTCTGAGGACATCTTGACTTCAGATTTCTTGCCTCCACAACTGTGAGAGAATAAATTTCTGTTATTTTAAGCCACCCGCTTTGTGGTGATTTCTTAAGGCGGCCCTAGGTAATGGTGATATGTTCCAGGAAAACCAGAGTGGCTGGAGCCAAGAGGTGGAGTTGAAAGAGGTAATCAGGGTAAATACTCAAAATATTTAATGGCTGACCTGATAAGGTACCCACCAGTCAGAACAGATGCCAGTTATTAAGCCCTGCCAGCATCGACTGATACATTTACAGCCTAAGAGGTGGTAGGAAAGACTAGAGAAAAGATTTGTGGGCTATGGAAGGGAGTTTGAATTGTATTTTGAGTGTAAATGGAAGCTATCGGAAGGTTCTGAGAAGGGGAGGGACATGATTTAATGTCTGATTTTAAAAAGATCATTCTAGATGCTCTGTGAGAAAAAAAAATGACCATAGCAGGAGGGCCAGAGAGGAAGCAGGACAGTTAGACAGCTCTTGCAGAAGTCGAGACATCAGAGGATGGTTGCCTGACTCAAGGCTGCCATACAAGATTCTGTCGGCTTTGCACAGCACAACCTCAGGGGTGCCACTCACAGCGCAAACTTCATGGGCTTGTATGTTTGCTACGAGAGCGTTCCGGCAGACGGGCATGGTGTTGTCCTCTTTGGAGAAAAACAGTATAGAAGAGCAGTATTCCAACAGATTGCTGTGTCTTGAGAAAGGGATGCCTTTTAAAAATTTTCACGAGGGCTAATGATGGTTGGTCCTTGGGCCAGTGGTGAGAAGATCCTGAGAAAGGTCAAATTCAAAGTAGATTATGGTAGAAACTGATGGACTTGCTGCCATTGGGAGAGAGAGAGGGAAGATTCAAGCATGACACATGACTTTTGATTTGAGTCACTGAGTGATATAATTTACCAAGATGGGGCAAACAGGGTAATGCCCTTCTGATTGTTTGTGGGGGCAGCCATGGACTCAAGGATTACTTCTTCCTGTTACCTTTGAGATGTAGAGAGACTGAGCTGTATATACTAAATTAGGGGTTAATGTCTGATAAACTCTTCTCTAGAATGATTATATCTTGAAATTATGTAATAAATTGTTATTACCTTTCCCTCCCTAATAGTGTAAGAGTGACTGGGTGGACTGGACGTGGATCGAGTGCCCAAATTAAAAATAAAAGCATTTTTCAGAAAGTGCTTGTAATTGACTACGATTATCTGGTAAAATTTATAGAAGACGAACCACATCTGGGCCTAGAGCCAAGTCACCGCTGGGCCTCTTATCACTGGTTTGTGTGGCTCAGGGCTGCCTTCATTGACTTTGGGGTTAGGAAGTCTCTGTGGATGTTAATGTTAAGTAATCTTGAACAGTAGGGGTTTAATGAGTTGTTTTAGTGTTGGATGGTAAGTACTTCAAATCCATAATTCCACTTCCCGCTGCCTTTGTTATCCAACACCATGTCAACTGAAATGCAACTTTTGAAAGAATTCCCAAGAGAAAATTGTTTATTATTCCTTTGTCCAAGTAGCCACCCTTACTGAAAAAATTACTTACTTACGGAAATCATAACTTTAATCAACCATAGGTCAAACTGGATATTAATAGAAACAGAAACTTTTTAATATAATTATTTTTATAAGGCTTGTAGAAAATGAAAGATGATGCACAATTGTCTCATGGGTGAAAATCTGAGCCTGTTTATACTGGAAGAAAGCCACCAGGCTCCTGTCCGATCTTTTCCTCATTCCCTAGACTCTCTTCACTGAAGTTTTCTCAATGAAGGCTGCAGAAACAGGTAAAGACATTTTTCCAATGCTTCCCACAGGCCTGTGACACGGTAATTCAAGTGTTTGGAAAATTAATGTCAGTTTTGACACCTACGCTATCTTGACATTCTCAAATGTATCAGTCTACTAAACAGGACTTGGCTGCCAAGGAGTAAATATAAGTGTCTCTGGGGAGATTGAGTCATTTTTTTAACTGGTGGATGGGGGTGGGGCGGGAATCTCTACATCTGTGTCTTTATTTCTATGTTTTCATCAGAGCTCAGAGACACTGACAGGTAAATTCTTTAGAAAGTACGATAAATTTTGACTTCTCCCTTAAAAATAACCAACAAAAAATACTCTATAAATACCGATTCTGCTTTTTTTTTTTTTTCCAAGCAGACTGTCACAGATACACTCATTCATCAGTGAGTGACTCAACTGGTGACAAGACCTTGGACTGCAGGTTGCCCAGGTGGCATCAGAAGGACCTGTCTGGTGGTGATCCCTGGCTCTGATGGAGGCTGACAATATGAGTTTGAGCAAGTTACTTAACCTCTCTGGCCTTATTTTCCTCATCAGTAAATTGAAGATTGTTGCAAAGATTAAAGGAGAAAATATATTGAAAGCGCCTAACTCAAAGCCAGAGCTCTTTCAGTGTTACTTCCTGTCTCTTTTTATTTTAAGTAAGAGCAAGTGGGCAGGGGTAGAGTAATTAGAAAAAGGGAGCCACTAGGTGGGAGCTAGAGGATAATATTGAAGTACCAAGCAGACTGAAGTCCCAGGTTTGGATTTTAGAGAAGTGTCTAAGGTAGCCAAGAAATCTAGAATCACTGGTTGAATAGACTTGTGAAAATAAAAGCAGGCTGTATGTTAAAGCAATTTACAGGCAGGGGCCATAAAATGGCTACAGGATGTTATCTATTTTTCCCTCAACGAAAAATATATTTTATTTAAAGAATTAAATATGTATGTGACTACTTTAGTTTAACTATTTCTAGGTATTGTTTTTCCTTTGACTCTTTACTAATTTATGATCCATGGTACCATCAAGTGGGTGAGAACCCTGGACCACTTTTACCTAGCCCCTCCCTGCAAGTTCACTGCCTTCTCATTGTCAACTAATCAAGAACAGACTTGCCACTATTGGAAGCACCGCCTGTCCAGTGAGCTGCAGATGCCATTCCTTCAGATGCAATTTAATGATCTGCCCCCACTGGAGTCACTCCAGGTGGCTCTGTTAATCACTTTATTGGATGTGATATTTGGAATTGTTCAGAATCAGAAAAGATCACTGTGCTTAGAGGTTTGCTGAGACTTTAATGGGATCTCTGTCCACGACAGAGGCCTGGGAAGATTTTCACAATATGCCACTTGACCCATTTGATCTCACATGTCCATCACTGAAGCATCTATTGGCGTGGATTAGTGGAAAACACTTTTAAAGAGCCCATGACTCATCCTCCAGTCTCCCCCTGGCAAACTGAATGATATCAAATCCTTCAAAGTCAGCGAGAGCTGGTGTTTCAGTATCTCCCTCAGAAAAGTTCAGAACAAGACAAACAACAGGCTCTTAGTAATGAAAAACTTAGAAATACAAACATAAATCCATAAATCTGGCACAGTATAGCTCTGGAAACTATGAGTGAGATGTCAAAATAAGCACTATTTATTCCATTCTGTGAAATACAGAGGAATAATAAGGAAAAACATATTCTTAGTCTATCAGATATGATGAAAGGCTCTTTTAAAGGTAGATAAGAAAAAATGTCTTCAACAGAAAAACACAGCAGACATAGTTTTGTATTATGCACATATTTATAAAGACAAGAAAAGTAAACAATGCAAAAAAATTTAAAAAACCTTGCACAATGAAAAATTTCATAGGAGAGACAATGTCAAATTAACTTAGTCGCAAACATATTTCCTATGAAGTGAATGCCTACTATGCAGATATTTTCTATGGGCTCTTAGGTATGACTACTTGGTCTGGTGAGTAATATAATCTTCTCTTTGCTTATAAAAGCTATTTAGACAGACGTCATTTCCGAATCAGCAATTTTTCTCTCTCCTTCTCTGATATGCATTATTTCACATAGATTTCTCTAGACTAATATATCTTAGGTATTCTGTACTTAACCAGGAAAATACACAAGCCAGAATAAAAGAAGATAGAAACTCAATATATTAACGAACATCCATTCATTAACACTAATTTGTTAATACTTTACTGAAAAAATACATTAAAACATGCATTGTGCATGAATCTTCTGAAATTTCCACTGAATCTAGTGAAATTTCTCATGCTTCTGATGCAAAAATATTACTGTGTAGTTTAAAAGCTATTTCTTATTCCTTTTATCCTAAACTACAAATATCTTGGCCCAAACACAAGCGACCACTGGCAAGGTGTTCATCAAAGCCAGGTCAAACCTCATTCACAATTCTCACATTTAGATCCTGAAGAGCTAAAGCAGAGCTCAGAATCAAGCTTTTGGTTGCCCCCTCCAAATCAGATACTATGTTCTTTCCTATAGAGAAATAACATCTTTTCTACTGAGACGTAGTATCATTAGAACTGTGGACTACAAAACCTGTCGGGCACAAACACTCCATTCAAACTCCTGCACTAAGATATTTGACTAAACTTGTGGCTTCTCACAGCCCAAGGTGGTGTCCCTGGATGACCCAGTTCCCTTGTGACTTCCTGCCTAGAAAAGCTCAAGGCTATCAAAAGGATTTACTGTTTCTCCTAGCCAACACCTGAGAAGACCCTGCCAGCCCTTTCTTAGAGGATTTATTAAAAAGGACTTAACAATTGTGAATCCTTCTTCTATTCCTTTGAGATGTATCATCAACACACTCAAAAGAGCATCTTTCTCTCCAGGACCTGGATTCCTTTGAAATGGAATCATTAGGAGAGCTAAGGCCTTGGTCCCCGTGGGAAAACAGTCCTAACTCTGACTCTACAGGAGCCTGGGCTTGTCTTCCTCCCTGCTCCCTCAGCCTCCATTTAAAAGGCCCAGTTGCCTCTGTGCATTTTGCAGTTCAGAATGGAGCTCTGCCCTTTCCCCTACCATCAGCGGTTAGCAAATGAAATCTGTTTTCACCATTTTAAGTAATGTCCAGCTTTGTTTATTTTTGACAGCACCAAGCCTTTACTTTTTCATTAAAATATGCAACTTCACCGAATTGTCACTGAATATATCTTTGGTAAGTATCCAAAGAACCTTTCCCTGAAAACCATTGTGGAGTTCCGGTCTCTTGAGCACAAGCCACCCGATCTCTTTACTTGGCCCTGCAGTAAACCTTTCGCATGTGCTGTTTAAAGCAAACTGAAGACTAATCTGTTTGTTGATATTGAATGCATTTTAAAATTTCCATTAATTTCTGTGACACTGAAAAAGTCCTATCAAACTTAATAAAGGCACTTTTTGAAAAAGAGAAAAAAACTGAATTAAAAGGGACCCAAACAATTAAGAATTCAAGGAGGAGGAATTCAAATAGAAATGGCCACATGACTAATAGAAGAAGGAAAGCTGTTTCCTCAAGTTCCTCTCCATCAGGAGATAATGCCGGGCTGGGGAGCAGAGTCAGAGTGCGTAACAGAGAGTGCTTTGCCACCAGAGGTTTTTATTTTAAGATGTGGAAGGTTCTCTTCACGCTTCTAGCCTCTCACGTGTCCTGACAGCCTCGCTGCTGCAGAGAAGGACTCAGGCGTGTTTACTGAGAAGCAGGGTGAACTGGGGAATCCTTGGGTCCATTTTTAGCTTTTCCTTGTATTTACTGAGTGATCTCGAGGCTCCTCAACTTCCTTTTCTTTTGGGACTTCAGCCAAGCAAATAAAATCACTATAACTTTTCCTAGAAAATTCTGGTAACAAATGCTTTCTTCTAAAAATGTGTTATGATTTTGTGTCCTTGTGATCTTTCTCAGAATCGCAGAATCTCTATCAAGAATTGTTGAGGGCTGTGGTAAACAGAAGGTGCCATTTTCCCAACTCTTGCACTAACTTTTACAAAGTTAGGGAAGATAGATCCCACAAACCCATAGATTATTAAATGAGCACTGAGTCCCCTGTTTAAATTCCCCGCCTTTGTCTGCAACTCCTTCAAGACTTGGGGAATCACACTCTCTAGTTACAGGAAAACCAGGCCAGGATGACTTTTTTTTTTTTATTGTGGTGCAACACACATAACATAAAATTTACTACTTTAACCATTTTTATGTGTACAATTCAGCGGCATTAAGTACATTCACACTGTTGTGTAGCCATCACCACCATCCATTTCTAGAGCTTTGTCAACACTCCAAACTGAAACTCCACACCCATTAAACACCAACTTCCATTCCCCTCCCACCCCTGCCAGTCCTTGATGATATAAGGGAGCAAAATGTGCCACCCCAAAATGTGTCTCTTAGTTAAGAGGATTAATTTAGCCTGATTGTTATTAAGAAACAGAAGAGACTCAGGAAGTTTTAGATAAACAGCCTATTCCAAGAAAAGAGCTATCACTAAAGAAATCTACAAGAATGTGGGCGAGGTGTGAGGCGAAAACTCTAGGCAGGACCTGGAGATCGCAGTCTGCT